GTGTGCTTCAGTGAATGTCTTCCACAACAAAATTAAGAGGTGAGAATCAAAAACAGTGACCTCCAGGTCAAAGGCCAGATTTCACTATCCATAATCTCCCTCTGAATTGTCACAGTAACAAGGACAGAACTCAGTTTTTGTTACCCATAAATGAACACACCCTGTATGACTTGAAATCAGTTGGGAGAGAATATTAACAAGAAAGAAAAGCAATAATCTTTTTAAAAAGTACCTTCTGAATTATACACAACTCTGCTAGTGATTTGCTGTGATCAAAATCATTCAGCCCACCAGTGCAGGGCTTTGGATCCTTCTGACACCTGTGACACTTACCTGAGGACTGGGAGCCTGGCTGATTGTCTGACACATCCTGGTCCTCCGTGCAGCTTACATGCAAGGCTACTGAAGGTACCTGCAAGGTGATTCTTTTGTGTAAGTATTTTTAATAAGCTTGCGAGGAAAATCTACAAAGTGACTCCATCATATACCAGACTGGTGGGGCACACATCTCTATCAGGGAATTCAAAAGAATCTCATAAGACGTAGGAAATAATCAGAGAAACTGAAAGTGGTAAGATCTGATAACAAACTCGGCGTTATTCTTATGTTTATCCCCACTCAGTGCTGGGATAGGCTGACAAGATCTACAAAATGTAACAAGGCTGATTAAGAAGTGCCTAAAAATGTCCTGTAACCACCTGAACAGAGAGAGGGATTTACCCCACCAAGCAACTTGAGATGTCTACCAACGCACTTGCAATATCACTGAGCAGTAGCAACACGTACATTTTGTCTGATATAAAAGTCTCAACATCTTCATTTTATATCCCCTGCTTCTTCAGTATTTACTATTAATTTTAGAGATAAGTGCAAATTTACAAACTGAAATAGTTACATTGTAGTTACTGTAAAACTTCATACAATCTCTCAAAATCTGCAAATAATTTAACGTTTAAAAAAAAAAAAAAGATAAAAATACACCTATGATTTAGTATGAAAAGAAGTATCCCACTGTGAGTTTCTAGGGAGAGCATGTTTCACACTGTAGGTTGAAAGAAACGCTAGCACATGACTTTGGGATCCAGCAGAAATATACAAATGCATCATAGCAACAGTGAGTGGAGACAGAAACTTACAATAAGAAATAAATGGAGCTGTGTGGTGTGGTGTCCAGACACAGAAATAGGGGCACTTATGAGACAGGATCTACCCAGAACAATGTTAAAAATTGCCTAAGGTAGCTTAGCCCCACTGGCCTCTGTTCTCATACCGATTTCAAGCAAAATTTCCCATTTCTTACTAAAGCAGATTTCTCAGTATGTAATCAGTGGAGCAAGGATTACCATTTCAGCCAGAGTTGATGGTTTTCTGATATTATAAAAGCACATTTTAGCACCAAAATATTTAAAAGAAAATCCTTTACCTTTCCTGAAACAAAAGCATCACTCTGACCCCATGTTCTGTCCTTTTCACTTACCTTATGAACAACACATTTTCTTTCATCTTCTGATGTACCTAGAAAGAAAACCCTTGACAGCTATGTTTATCATCCCACAGTAGTAGTTGAGGAACTCCTCTATTTTTATCTTGTTCCATGAAATACAGTTTTATACTCTTGTTGCACTATTGCAGTGAGGATCCAGTCAGTGCGGACCGGAAGGTGAATTCTGCAGCCCCCACTCAGGTGACAGTCTGATTCAAACCAACATGGCAACTTGGTTGAGATGAAGCCCCAGATTAGGCTCATGTGATTTTGCCCTTAATTAAAAACAACCGGACAACAATATATTAAAAAATAATGGTTGGAGAGCAAAGTTCTGTTAATATTGTCAGCTTAAAAGTTTGTCAGAGTACAAAGGCCACTTCTTAACACAGCAAACGTGCCCAATCTTAAGTTCTTAAGTTGTATTACAGCTTCTTTTTTTGAGTAAAGTTTAATTAATTTCAATTAACTCTGAGATGAATTAGTTTATTTGATGTGTCTATTCTACCAATGACATTAAGATTTAAAATTCAGGACTGAATTGACCTTGAGCAGCATATGTACTCAAACTGTGTGATAAAGAAGAATATTAATCATTTAATTTGATAAAATGAACAGCTGTTCTAGTTGATTGGAAACAGCTAAAAGTGTAAAACGTATTTTGTGAATGCAAAATTAAAAGTTAATTTTATTATAGAGTGCAATTTGCCAACTAGAAATACATTCCTGAGATGTAAGCAATATATTTTTGTAATGCTCTATCCACACATCAGAAAGGTCATGTAGATTTAAATGCCATATTACTATAAAAGTTGAACGATTTCAATTGAAAAGTGATCATATGATTTAGCTATTTAGAGACGAATATGAAACAGCTCTGGCAGATTTGCCCTCTGTCTCCAATGAACAGTTTAAAAGCTGTACTGACATAACATTTCATTAAATTCAAACTGCTACTTTCACTTACCTTGTGCCATGGATGCCTACTTTTCTACTTTTCCATAATTTTGTGGGATTTTAGTATATGTTTGTTGTTGCTGTTTTTTTTATCTTTTTTTTTTTTAACTTGGAGATTAAGATTTGAATTAGCATTTGACATCATAGATTTTCAATGAAATGCATCTCTTCTAACAGGCACTGAACTCGTTTTGGTTGCACACATTTTCAACCTATGCAATCTCATGCTGTAAATATATCTATCATGTGGACACTATACAAGGTGCGAGGGTACAATATTAACACATGTCTATACAGAAAATCAAGCACCTCCCCCACCTCCAAGCATGATGCTGGCACTGCCCAGGTGGTAATTTCCCGCTTAATGCCTGAAGTGTGAGCCTGCAGCAACCGAGCGAGCAGTGGAAGTGTTGGCGCGTTGGTACCAGTCCTGTTGTGAGGAGTGAGTTAGAGCCCCAGAGATTCTGGCCAGACCTGTCAGCACAGATCGCTGGGTAGGCGTACCTCAGCTCCTCATCTCACTGGAAACAGGTTTCCATAATGGCCCAGCTTAGATGTGATTTTCAGGCTATTTTATCTGCTGTCCCAGTGCTGCTCCCCATTCCCTATTCAGGCTAAACTTGTGCCAGAAGGCAGCCAACACGCTGCTCCACCTTACATTAATACTTTGCCTTGGTCTGGGTACTTAGCGTAGCAGAGAAAGGCTGCTATACCATGGCCGCCTTTGAGCCATTATCCCATTCTGTAAGAGGATCTTTTGCACTCTGGGATACCACCATTCCTCCCCAGCTACAAACAGAAGCTCTCCCATTACTGTCCATTTGAGGCACATCTGATCTGTGTACAGAACTGAAAGACTGCTTACTGAAAGAGGCCCTTTTCTACAGCAGCCTCGAATTCTGCAACATTACATTCCTTCTGTAACTAAATCTCAAAGCAATGAAGGAGGCTGTCTCTGCATGCCAGGAAACATTCTGAAAAGCAGGAGCATTATGTTTTTTTCCTGATGACATATTTAAGAGACAGTTGTAAACGGGATGTGCTGTTGTCTCAATGACTTTCAGGAGTAAGGACTCCTGAACCGGGCCCATCTGTCACTGCCTCCCCTGCCGTCACTCACTCCATAATACCAAAGGCACCTCACTATCCCACAGCATGCTTCTGGGGACCAAATGCTGGGCACTGAATGCCAACCAGCAACCCAGAAGTGTTTCTCACAGGGTTTGCTGTGGCAGGACAGGTCATAGAAGGTTCTGCAGTAGTAAAGAACATAACAAATCAGGTCTTAATTCAATAATTTGACCCTAACAACATGGTGACAGAAATGAATTCATAATGATTACCACTGCGATATTGTCAAATAGCTGTACCATAGAAACTATCAATTAACTTCTCATTATTTCAGAGGTGAGTGTTCTAGTGGTATCGTCTCATCTCATTCCCTGAGAGCACATCTCCCTCCCAGTCCCAGCACCCCCACAGACACACTTGTCCTGCGTGCCCCGTCACCACCAGTGCTGCCCAGCCTGCTGCTGTGCAGACCCAGCTCTGCAGCCGGGCACTGTGGGCTCCGGCCTGTTGGCATGCGGGGAGCACAGCTGGCCTGGGGATGAAATAACACAGTTGCTATCTTAAAAAGCAACATGAAGTAGGATCCTCTTGGTTTGTTTCACCCCATTTTCAGTTAGAAAAGTAGAGAACTTGCTACAGTAAAAAGCCTCATATTTTCTCACAGCTTTATGCCTGAACTCACGTGATGCCTGACGGCACACAGGAGTCCCCAAAGGCTGTGGCTGCCCACAAAAAGTAACTCGAAACACAGTTTGGGGCGCACGCCGGGAGGAAAGCAAGCCTTGTGCCCTCACATCCTGCGCTCTGCAGACAGGTGCGCCGTGTCGCGCCTCAGCCACAGCCAGGCAGGGGATGAGCGACGCGGCCCGCGCTCCTCCGACGGCCGTTCCCGCCCGGTGCTGAGGTCCGGACCGGACGGCGCGGTCCCCTTCCGCACTCGCGGTCCAACCGTCGTTAACTGAACAGAGCCCGAGGGGCCGCCGCGGGCTGGGAGAGGCCGGGACTGCGGAAGGCGCCCACCGCGAGCAGCCCCCACCGCCCCGCCCGCCCGGCGCTCCCCGGTGGGTGGAAGGCGGCGGCCTCGGGGCGGGGCAGGGGCCTGGGGCGATCAAAGGACGCCGACTCGGCGGGACCTCCCTACTGACCCCAGTGTTAACGTATTTATTTTCACGCTGCAATCGCGGGTCGCTGTACAGAAACATGCTGGGGCCCCGCGCGGAGCAGGGACGAGGGAGGAAACATTTGTATTAAACAGAGCCGTTAAATAACCTGTACACGGAACGTCAGTCTTTTCCCCTGAAAGCGCCGAGCGCGGCCGCGGGCTGCCCCGCTTCCGCCCCGACGGCCTTAGGAGCGGCGCCCATCCCGGGGCAGCGGCCGCGGGGCCCTGCGAACGTCCTTCCCCGCAGCCCCGGGCTCCCCCGGCCGGGCTCCCGCTCGCAGTGCGCGGTGCGAGTCCCGGAGCCGCCCCGCCGGGCGCCCGCGGCGGTCACAGGTCGCGGCCGTCCTCCCGCTTGACGGCGTCGGCCGCCGCCTTCAGCTTCTTGTTCTGGTGCGTCTTGACGTGCTTGGCCAGGTGGTCGCTGCGCATGAAACGCTTCCCGCACTCGGGGCAGACGAAGCGCTTCTCGCCCGTGTGAGTCCGCAGGTGCCGCTGCAGCTCGTCGGAGCGGGTGAAGCTCTTCCCGCAGAAGAGCCAGTTGCAGACGAAGGGCCGCTCGCCCGTGTGCCAGCGCAGGTGCGCCTTCAGGTGCGAGGTCTTGCCGTACACCTTGCCGCAGCCCGGGATGTGGCAGACGTGCTGCTTCTTCTTGCCCGGCTCCGCCTCCGGCGCGCTGCCGGCGGCCGCCTGGCAGTTGGGGCAGCGGCAGCGGCGGCACCTCCTGGCCGTGGCCGCCAGGGGAGACTTGGTCTGCAGCAGGGCGGCGATCTGTGTCTGGTACTGCGCGAAGTCCGAGTGGCCCAGCACCAGGCCCCGCGGCAGCGCGGCGGCGGCGGGGAAGCGGTGGGCGCAGCCAGGAGGGGCGGCGGCTTGCGGGATGCTCCACCAGGGCAGGTCCTCGGGCGGCGGGTTGGGAGAGAGCTGGCGGCAGGGCTGCGCGGGCGGCAGCAGGTTGGAGTAGCCGGGCGGCAGCGCGGCCTGGGCGGCGTACGGGACGTAGGCGGGGGGGCAGGCAGACGGCAGCGCGGCCATGGAGGAGGGCAGCATCTTGACGGGGGAGAACTCGTAGGGGTAGGAGGGGTCGGCGGGAGGCGTGGGGGGCACCTCGTCCCCCCCCCCGAAGGACGGCTGCAGGTGGCTCTTCTGCGGGGTCAGCCCCAGGCTGGGGTGCGGCGGCGGCAGCCCCCCCGGGGAGTGCGCGGGCATCTCGCCGCCCCAAGGGTGGAAGATCCTGGAGGGAGATCCGAGCGTCGGCTCGTAGGGCACCGGCAGGAAATCGGCGGGCGCGGCGCCCGGCTGTCCGATGCGGCTGCAGGTGGCGGCCAGCAGGGCCAGCGGCGAGTGCTTGGCCACGTCCGGGGAGGCGCTGGGGGTGCGGTCCTGCGGCGGCGGTCGGGGCGCGGGGAGGGAAGCACAGCGCGTTACTCGCCGCCGCCCGCCCTACCGAAACTTTCCGCGCCCGCCCGTCCGTCCCGGAGAGCCCCCGCCGCGCCCCGCGCCGCGCCGCCGAGAAACTTCCCGAGAGCGGCATCCTCGCCCCGCCCGGTGCGGCCCGCGCCCCGCCTGGAGCAGCCCTTCCTGGCGGGCGGCCCCGGCCCAAGTCTCGGCGAGGAGCCCCGTCCGGCGCCCGCCCGTCCGCCCGCGCGGAGGTGCCTCGGGCGCTGGCACTGACCTGGAGGAAAGCCTGAAGCGAGTCGTTGCGGAGGACGGCGACCGCGGCCATGGCTACTGCGCCCGGAGAGAGGCGCCCCGTTGGGGCATGGATACTCCGCGGGACTGCCGGGCCGCCTGCGCTGCGCTGCGCTGCGCCGCGCTGCGCCGCGCTGCCCTCCGGCCTCGCCTCCGCGCCCGGCCCGCCCCGCGCCGCCGATCTCCGCGGCCCGTCTGCCTGCGCCGGGATCACCTCCAAGAATTTGATAAGGACTTTGCTGGGCCGCCAGCCAGTCAGAAGGAAGATTTATGGCTTTGAAGTTTGCCGCTACCCAATCATCAAAGAATAGCGGCTCTTTCAGAAGCGAAAGCAAATCCTTTGAATCCACAAAGCTCCTATGGTGTGTTTGTTGGTCGGGATAAAAGAACTGATTATTAGGGGGGATGGGAAGGGAGGAGATAAAGGCGGGACAATTAATGAAGTAATCACTATGTGGGAAATGTATATACACAAATAATTGGATTTTCTTGATCAAAGGACCCCGTACCGCCTGGAGACCCTCTCGCGGGATGCGCGAGACACCGGATCCCCCCTCCCTCCTCGTGTTGGGCTTTTTTCTGGTTTTCTTTTCTTTTTTTTTTCCTGTTTTTTTTTTTTTTGTTTGTTTGTTTGTTTGTTTTGGGTTTTTTTGTTTTTTTGTTTTTTTTTGGTTTTTTTTTGGTTTTTTTTCCCCGCAATTAAGGGGTTGCGGCGCAGCCCCGAGGTGACAATGTGGCTTTGTTATCGCCCGAGATCTACCTCCGGCCGCCCCCGAGATCACACCGCAGTGCGGCCTCTCCACCTGAGCGGGTCTACCAGGTCCGGGCTGCGGAACTTCCCCCCGCAGTCTCCCGCCCTCGGGGGATGCCCCAACCGAGCTCCGCGCGTTCCCCGCTCGCAGCCTTTGGGGAACTTCGGGTGAGGGCCGGGCGGGGCCCGGGAAGGAGGGCCCGGAGCCGCAAGAGCACGGGCAAGCAGGCAGCGGCAGACGGCAGAGGAGAGGCGCGGAAAAGTTTCCTCTCACCCAGCGGGCGCCGACCGCCACCGCCGCGCTCCCTTAAACGAAGGCAGAGTCCCTCCCGGCAGCGCCTTTGGCTGCGGGCGGCCCCGGGCTGCGGGCGGGCGGAGCTCCGAGCCCCTGCGCACTCCCCCGGGGCCGGGGCAGCGCCGGGCAGCGGCCCTGCGGAGCCGTCAGTCCGGGTAACTCGATCCTCCCCGCGGCCGTTGGGTGCGATTGCATTCACACCGCCGCCGCAGGCCCTTTAAACGCTGGCACAGAGATCCTTATCTGCCTTTCCCGTGGAAACAATCGCCGTCCGTTCAAAGACTTCCAAGAGTCGTAGAGCTGAATTAGGCCGCTGTCTTTTGAAGGGATTAAAGCGCCGAGTCCTCTCCCACGGCTCCGCGCGGAGTACCGGGGAGAAGCAGAACCCGACCCCGTGTCACATCCCGCCCGCAGCAGCCGCGTAAAGCCCAGGGGCCACCGGCACGGCGGGAGAGCTGCGACAAGACGGCCGTGGCGGGCGGGAGGCCCAGCAGCGAACTGCTTCAAAACCGGGTCTCGTAATTCGTTGTACTGCCTGTCTCTGTGCAGAGGAGCCCTGCTCAGCCCACGCTTGGGGTGATGGCACGGCTGCCACACTGCCCTGGGTTTGGCTCAGTGGATTGATCCAGCACTGCAAAAGTGCACCTGTTACTCCGTGAGCTCGTAATGTCATTGCACAACAGTTAGGTGCCAAAAATACATTTTCTAAGAGCAGTGTTTTTCAGCATTTCAGGAGTCACTTCTGAAACAACGAATTCTTCAAAGACTGCTGCTGAACAGGAGTGCTCCACAAACCCGTACTTTTTCTCACCAAGTGCGAGTGCTCTGAACAGACTCTCTGAGGAGAAATAAAAGGTGGGAAAAAAAGCTGAGTGGGACTGACGGTGTGTTGGGAAGGAGGTGCTGCCAAGGGAAACAGCCTTGAGACCCTCCCTAGACACTCTAAATTTGTAAGGTAGCTTATTCCAGCAATGCATACATGTTAGTGAAAAGCAGGCAGTGCTTCTTGTGCCTACTGACACCTCGTGGGTGAGTGCTCACCAACATGGGGAGAGCTTTTGAGATGAATCCAGCGGAAAAACCAAACCTCAAAGTACTCCCAGCACTGCCAGAAGTGGTCCTCAGGACAGTGGTGTGCTCCCAGCAGGCAGCAAGCCCCAGCACAGCTGGCACACAGCCGGCAGCCAGCAGGTTTTGGCCTGGCTGCTGGCATCTGCTGGGGCCCCAGCACTGCAGGCACTGGGTGAGCTCTGGCTCTGGGTGGCACTGGCCCATCACACAGTTGCTGACGTGGGCCAGGGGTACCAAGGAGATCTAGAAAAGCTTTGGTATGAAGATGAAAGAACTGTCACCTTAGTTGGGCAGAAAAATATACAAAAGCAGCCCTGGAGGATGGACAAAAAGGTCTTCTCAGAAATGTGGTGCATGGTTTGCTTCTATTTCACTTCAAACCTTGATGCCTCACTGGTGCAGGTAAGTGCATAAATGATGCAAACTATTCAAACAAAAATTTACACAGAAATAAATTAGTATCAGCAAAATGATTCCAAATGTATATGGCAGTTGTCTTACGCTTTCTACCCTGCTATACAAACACAAATATGTTCTTGCTATATTCTATGCAGCAGGGCCAGTTTCCATCCCATCTTTCCAAGACAACATCTGTGGCCACACACACAGCAGCACCGGGTTTAGAAAGAGGAACCCCTTGCCTTCCTCTCGGACGTTACCAGGCTGTTGCTCATGAAACTCTTCACCAAACCATCCCAGCTCTGCCCAGAGCTCAGGACCCCAAAGTGAAGGAGCAGTGACCAGGGAGTGCCAGCTGAGACATGTCCCACTAGCTGGTCATGCCAAGCCAAACCATCATCCTAAACTGGCCATGAGTCACATTTCACATCACTCTTCAGTAAGCCCTTTTCACCCAGGGCTGCACTGCTTGGCCAGCTGTTTTGAGAACACAGGACAAGGAGAGGAAAAAGGGCATTCCTCTCAGAGGCAGGGCCACCAGCATGGCCATGGCTCCAGCTCCAGCCTAACAAATAGCAGCATATTCCTTACTCTTCTAGAACATGTGAGATGGAGGGCAAGCAGAATAGGGTACTCTATCGGGCTTCTCTCCCTCAGTAAATTTCATATCCCTGTTTTTCATCCTACGTGCAGGAAGCCCCATACTCTAGCTTTACCGAACAGAGAGTATCACGTATAATATATGAAAGAGAGAAGGCACTGTGGTCAAGGACAGATAATGCTATAAAATGGAAATGCATTCTTAATCTAAATTACCTATCCCTTAGTCTAAAATAGCCAGTTCTTAATGCTGGGAAATGTGAGAGAGAAAGAGATTATGATGCTGCAGTGCTGGGACTCCAGTGTCCAAATGGCACAGCTCTGTCACATGAGATCCAAACCCAAATAATGGGATTCAGAAGAAATCTGTTATTGAGCATCACTGATCGCTTCTCAGGAGGCCACAGGAAACCAAAAAGGACCATTTTCCCACATTTTTCATCTTAAAATAAGAAAGGCTGGAGAAACAAACAAACAAACAAACAAACAAAACAACCAAGTATCTGTAGTGATACACTCAACTACAGAGTTGTGCCACAGCAGAATTCATACAGCAGTGAGTGGAGTTGCTGCCCATAAGAACTGAGGCAGCCTCATGCTTTGCTACATTTTTCACGCTAAGAATACTTGGCACATGCAGTGATTCAGAAAGAAGCTGTTCCATAGTGCCAATGATTCTCTTTAATGAGATATAGTTATCAGTTGATTTATGAATTTCTCCTGCCTGTTCTCATTTACTTGGCTCTAAATTAAGGAAAAGATCATTTGCATTCTAGAAGTTAAACATTGTTTATAAGAGAACAGAGTAATCAAAATCCCTCTTAAATCAAGATTTAGAAATCACACAGAGGGATTAGAGGTAGTTCTTCCCACCCTCCCCAGAAAGGATAACAAGAGTTCCAGCAATGTGCACAGCCTTATCCATTAAACTTGGCGTCAAAGACTCAAAAAAACCCATTGCGTTTCCAGTTTTATCTGGTTTTCCATATGAGTATAGTGTTACCTTATCTCGGGAATTTAATGTAAGAAGAGACAAAAGGAGCCTTCTGCCCTAGCCTCGCGATACCCTGATGACCTCCTCCTGGGAGATGCTACGCTCCCTGTTAATTTAGATACCATATGCCTCAATGGTCATCACTTCAGTGGCTGCTCTCTATTTTACAGCCCTCACAGAGATTTTGATCACATTGTCTATTAAAACAAACCACTTCCTCTGTTTGCTATTGCTCTGCCAGTCAGAGGCACCTCAGTTGATCAGTATTTGCTCATTCTTACCTACAAACAGCGCAATTCAGTCACCTTTGCTCTTTCCTTTGGTATATGCTCCACTGTTCTTTACAGGCTACTTGCACCGCTTGAAGTTAAGCATCAAAACCCAGAAAGCAGTAGCAGAGGGATGTAGGATATGGGAAGCAGCTGCACAGAGTGGAGCAGCACCGCTGCTCAGATGCAACAAGCCAGGAGGGAGCAGCCTGGGGCCAGGACCTTCTTGTTAGGCTGCAGCAGAATCTTCTCTCTGCAGGTATTCCGGCAGCCCCTCACTTGCCAGATCCTGGCTCTGTTTGTATGTTACAGGGTGGATGTGTTTGATCTCCTTTTCCTGTGCAAGACAGCATTTCACAAGGGAGACAGAGGCAAAAGGCTGTCACTTGTGGTGAGGCAGAAAAGCAACCTGAGAGCTCACACTGTACTAGTGCTGAGATCTGCCAGGAGAACTAGGAGTGGGCATGGCTGCATACATGCTGGTGCTGGGGTCACGGGTAATGAGAATACCAAACGGAATGGAGCAGCTCAGTTTGCCCTGAATGATTGATTGAAGCCGTTTTCATCTCTGTAGGGTGTTCTTTTTTGGCTAAAATAACATTTCACTCAGAAGTCTCTACACAGGCATATTCTTACATCTATCTATCTATTCAAA